GATAGGTTCAATGTAGACCTTATGGAAAAATTTGGTTCGGTTCACAAGTTACTTTTGTGACTAGAATTGTGGAAAGAATGAAGTTCATGAACTGAAGTACCACTGTATATGAAGGTGTTACTGTTTGGTGAATGCCAGGTTTATCTAAACATAAATCACCTGGGAATCTTTAGTCATTTTAAAATTTAAAACCACAGTCTCTACAGGTAGCACATAGACATCAGTTGTTACAGCTTCCCAAGTGATTCCCTGGTTGGGAAACCATTATCTTAGACTGAGAACCCCTGGTCATTTTCCTTGGCTTCTGAGAAGGATTTGTCCGAGATTATCGAGTAAGCTACATGCTAAAGTAGAACTAGAAGTAGGTAGGTTCGTTAAAACTGTACTTGGAATTAGAGGTGAGTTTTGGTTTTGTCTCTGGATCCTGGTTCAAACAACAAATTCCTGAGTGTTTTCCTTATATAGTATTGAGGCATAAGTGAGAGCCTTTTGTAAAATAATAAGGAATTATTTGACATTTCAAATTTCTGGGATTTTTAAGGCTTTTTTTCACTAAACAGAAAATTTTACTAATAATTCTACAGTTACTGTTGTAATTTCTTGTACTAGTGTCTTTTTTCTACTTACTACATTGTAAGTTTATGATGCATTGAACATTTTCCATGTTTTGATAGGTGGTCTCTGGTTTTTCCTAATTTTAGTGGCTACAGAACATAGTCCACTCAATAGGTGCAAATTCTAAGCACTTTGAAATATCATACAAGGCAGGAAATAATTATTCAATAGATCAAGATTGCATGGCAGATTATTAACAGAAAGAGGACTAACCCCATGTTCTTAGCTAAGTATTCTTATTTACACTGTTCTTCCTTCCCATGTCTTAAACACAGCACACACTGTGTAATTGGTTTGAAATGGCACCTGTACTTAGGAAACCAAAGGATGAGCACTGAAGACATTGATACTTTTAATTCTTAAAACTGCTTTGTAATACTTTCGTAATGCTTAGCAAAGTTTGGCTACTTACACTTCATCCACATTGTAGAGAAATTCGTAGATTTTTATTTTCTCTTGATCCTCACTTCATGTGTAATGGTTGGTTCTTAAAACTTCATTGATGTTACTCTGCTCTTAATCTGGCAGCTAGATATATGGAAAAACTGAACTAGGTATTTGAAGAAATAAAGGCCCAAGAGCAAACATTCAATAGTTGCTCTCCCCACTAATGAAGTTGCACATTCAAAAGGAAGGCATGTCACTGTACATCATACCTGGCAATAAATCAACTTCCTGTTAAATTGCAAAAAAAAAGCTAAGGGATGTGGATTGTCCCAGCTTTGTTTGCCATTGACGGTTGAGAGACTCGGCAGGTTTATTCATTCTCTGGTTATCATTTTGCTGCTCTTTGACATTGTTCAAGCTGGTGATTATGAAAACCAACATCAGGAAAGCTTTGAAAAGAGCAGGATCTATGTAACCATTTATGATGATTATTTAAACCATTGCGATTGAGATCATATCCTGGTCAGTGTTAGGTTGCCCTTATACAGCCATTGCTTTCTACAGTCACTTTGTGTGTAGACACAGAGCTGTGGCTCAAACTATACCACTAGGTGTCACCAAGAAGTGATGAATGGCTAAACTTAGAGGGATGCAAGGATGAAATATGCTGGGGAAAATTTGAGAGCTTATTTTGTAGACCAGAAGAACTCTCCAGGAGGTAGGTGAATCCGGAGGATCTAGTGGGGAAAGACTGATGCATCTTGAAAGTTTGCCCCAGTTTCTTAGGAATTCCTTAGTTTCTCTTGGTTAGGGCTTCTTTTGTGACCATATTTATGTCACCTTATCTTTGCCTTTGATACCTTTTTTCAATTCTTATACATTGGTATTGGGTGACTTCTTGGGTCACATTACTTTGCCTAAGACGTTTTTCCTGTGTATAATCTAAAATTGACTCTTCGGCGATAAAATTGTTCTCACATAGGTGGTTCTGGCTCCATCCCTGTCCTCTATTACTTCCCCATGCCTTGTTTCAGAGTCAGGGGAACTGATCATTCCCCATAGTGTTTCAGGCTGAACAGAAAGAATGGGAGAAGGTTTCCGCTTTGAGCCATGGTAGGCCCAAGTCAGGGGGCCACAGTCTTTCTGTATGTATACATGTCTTTCAGACCAAATAATAAAAATAAAACAAGGGCCGGGGATTTAGCTCAGACGCTGAGCCTGCCTTGCAAGTGCAAGAGCAAGGCCCTGAGTTCGATGTCCAGTACCAGAAAAAATAAAACAAAAGCCTAATACCAAATCAGAGCTGAGATCCAGTCTCTGCCTCCTTCATCCTCTGTGTCTGTCTGTGGTCAAGTCCTCTGTCTCTTGTGTTTGGGTTGACCAGGGATATCTGTCTGTCCATCCATCCGTCCGTCCATCCATTTATCTATCACTTATCTATTTATTGTGGCTTAAAGTAGGTAGCTATAGTTGCCAGTGTAAACATAGCGATTTTTTCCTCAGTATTGGGGATCCAACCCAAGGCCTCACCCCATGTAAGGCAAGCACTGAGCTACTCTTTACCTTTATTTTTATTTATTTATTTATTTTTAACAGCTCATAGGTGATCTTTATTTTATTTTATTTTTTATTTATATATTAATTGGTACATTTTAGGTATACAGTACATTTACATTTATCATTGGGTGCTTGTACCTGCACATGATGGATCTTATTTCTTATTTGTTCCCCCATTACCTATGTGCCCTTCACCGCCACCACCCTTCCCTATTTACATAGACTTTGTTTCCTTTTTTTTTTTTCTTTCTCATCATTTTTCCTTTCCCTTCTTCCCTTTGCCCTTCCCCTCCCGCCACCCCTACCCCTTTGGACCTTTTCCTATTTCAAATTATCAATTGTTCGTTTTAATCATTTTCATCCTTATTTACACTTTCAGTTTCTCACACTAGAGAATTCGGTATTTACACATGTGTATCCTGTTTATTTCACTTAAGAGTATGGCCTCAATATGCATCCATTTAGCTATAAATGTCTCTAGTTTCTCAATCTTTATGGCTGAGTAGTACTCCATTTTATAAAAAAAAAACACATCTTCTTTATCCAGTCTCCAGTTGATGAGCACTTGGGCTGTTTCCAAGATTTTGCTATTACAAACTGTGCCGCTATGAACATGGGTGCACATATATCGCTGTGGTATGATTCTTTTAATTCTTTGGGGAAGACATCCAGCAGGGGAATAACTGGGTCAAATGGGACCTCTAGTCCCAGTTCTTTGAGGTATCTCCATACTGATTTCCACAGTGGTTGCACCAGTCTGGACTCCCACCAACAATGGAGAAGGGTTCCTTTCTCCCCAAAACCCCGCCAGCCATTCTTTCTGGGGTGAGGTGGAATCTCAGTGTTGTTTTCATCTACATCTCTCAAATGACCAGTGATGTTGAACATTTTTTCATATATTTATTTGCTGTTTTTACTTCTTACTCTTTACCTTTAAACATTGTTAGTTCAGAAGTGAGTTTCATCCACTGGCCTGTCCTCCAAAGTTAGGTTCTTGGTATTGGTTAAAATGCCCAGTATCTGTTAACTCTCAGCCTGCATTTGTCTATTACAGGACCTATCATCTCCATTTAGCACCCTTAGGTAACCCTGTCCACATGATATTGCTTTTCATTTACAGGCTGTGCCTCCTAATCCCACACTTATTTGTGCCCTTGTGTTGTCCTTCCCATAGTGAGCTACTAAGAGTTGTTTTCATATCTTCATCTTTTGCATGTGAGTGAGCTGTTTACCTTGTAAGATGCAGAGCATAGAATTGAAATGACTTGCTACATCAGTTGAGCCCAGGTGTAATAGAAGCGAACATTTATAAAATGCCATGTGCCAAGCACTGTTCAAAGTACATTACATATTATCTCATTAGCTTCACCCCAAAGGTTATGAGGGAGAGACTACTTACTATAGGTGCTGTAACTGGTCCATAAGAGATCTGCCCGAAGTCACACAGTTGTAAGTGACACGTTCGTTATATGTCAGTCACTGTGTTCCCAGTTGTATGTACACTGCTGTTCGTTCCTAACAGGATCGGTATAAGTATTATCCCATCTTATAGTCAAAACTGAGGCAGAGAAAGGTTTAAATAAATCGCTAAGGATGTGCAGCTAGGAAGGTATTATATCTGGGCCACGAGCTCCAGCTCTGAACCATTATTCGTGATTCCCTTGGACCTCTATTAGTATTAACTGGGTCAGAGACCACCTACAGTTTGACCCCAGTGCACAGCGTTGGGTCTCTGTCTCTGTCTCTGTCTGTGTGGCTTCCGCCTACTGGGAAGTGCTTTGCCTTCACTGCATTGAAGGACCTCGTTAGAGACAGTATCTGGGTGACTTTCCAGACCAGCTTCGTCATGGACTTCACCGTTGCACGCAGCCTCCTTTGTTAACCAGCAGTTTTTCTAGCTTTGGGCCACTGCCTCCAGTTTAAGTCAGTAGCAGCAATTCAGTTTCAGTTTCCTTTAATGCTGTTGTATGTGTTTGAGTGATTCATCCCCCAGTAATAGATGATTCTTGCCTGTTACACAGGCAGTTAGTTCTCTGTGGAGGCATACAGGTGAAAAGCCGAATCTTTGTTGAAGAATACTGTTTCTAAGGACGGTGGTATGTGAGCTTTTATTTTTCTGTTCTCAGTGGTTTTCCTTCTGAAATGACAGAAGGTTTTGGAGCAGCAGGAGAGAAATTCCATTAAGAGGAGGAAAATCAGCAGGGTCTGGGGGCACACACCTGTAATCTCAGCACTCTGGGAGGCTAAGGTAGGAGGATTGCAAATTCAATCTCAACATGGGCAACTTTACAGACCCATTCTCAAAAAAAAAAAAGAAACAAGAAGGCTTGGAATGTAGCTCAGTGTGAAGGTCTTGAGTTCAAACCCCTAATATTGGGTGTGGGGGGACAGAGAGGAGGAAGATTGTGAAACTTACTTTGCCTTTCTTTCCCTTTCCCCAGAGTCTGAATGGTGTTTGGCTGAACAGAGAGCGTCTGGAGCCGTTAAAGTTTTATTTCATCCATAAGGGAGACCAGATCCAGCTTGGGGTGCCTCTGCAGAATAAGGAGCGTGCAGAGTATGAATATGAAGTTACTGAAGAAGACTGGGAGAGGATTTTCCCTCGTCTTGCCCCAAAGAGTAACCAGATGGTAGAAAAAAATAAGGGCTTGAGAACTAAAAGGAAAAGTAGTGTAGATGAATTAGAGGGTCTTGGATGTGAAGGCCCCTCACATTTGAAATCCAAAATAAGTGAAGTGTCGGGTGAAGCAGGCCAGCCAGCGAGGTCGCCTGGGGATGGCGAAGTGGCCAGTCAGCCCTCCGAACGTTTGGGCCCTGGGTTGGCTTCTCTCAAGGCGAGCAAGAAGACCACGAGGGCTCGTGCTTACCCTGGGCCCCCAAGAGTCACAGAGCTCTGCAATAAAAAGCAGAAAGCCTCAAAGCCTTCAGCATCTCAGAGCAGCTTAGAGCTGTTTAAGGTGACCATGTCCAGAATCGTGAAGTTGAAAGGACAGCTGGAAGAAAAACAAGTCGCTGTTATGAATGTGAAAAAGCAAACCCAGAAGGGGAGTGCAAAGAAAATTGTAAAGATGGAGCAGGAGCTGCAGGAGCTGCAGTCCCAGCTGTGCGCAGAGCAGGCTCAGCAGCAGGCGAGAGTAGAGCAACTAGAGAAGACTTTCCAGGGAGAGCAGCAGCTCCAGGTACCCCAGGAGTGAGCACGTCTGCCCCCTGGGGGCACTTTGTGAACCTGTGGCCAGGGCTGTCTGTTTTGGGGCCAGGGACCAGACTGGGACGCCAAGATGGGCTAAGGTGACCAGAAGAGCCAGCGAGGGCATAACTGGTATCAGAGCTCAGGGCTGAGGCACCTCAGACACAGGTACATTCAGGAAGAAGTTGGTTGAAGGGCAGGGTGCCACAGAACCGCACCACATGCCTGTTAAGCCAGTAGCTGTCCTCATGATACCCATCTCTGCTCTGTGGCCAAAGCCAAATCTCTGAGCCCCAAAACACATGTGTATCATCTTGTCATGCCCTTGTACTTTCAGGAGGTAAAACGACAACTCTCTTAGTGGTGTCAAGCTCACACCAAATGTGTCCCATCCCCAAGTCATTTGGCTGGATGACAAGCTCTTGCATGAGCTTTAGGCTGGAGCTGATCCTGTCCTGCTCAAAATGTCAGTTCCCCACTGGCAGGAGCTAGACGTTACTCCCACCCAGTTGTTCAGCTGATGTTGAATGTCAAGAATTCCCCATTGTTGATTCAGAACTAAGAAGGGCCAATCACAACTGAAGGGAATAAGCTTTTATCTTTTGCTTGAATTGCTCAGGGCAAGGAACAACCAAAGGTAGCTGTGGCTTATTTCTGAGTGATTTATAAATATCTTTCTAATCCCTGCCGTCCACTTGAGCTGGCAGCATTATCAAAGGCTATGGGTTAAGTAGCTCTTTCAAGGGTATACATTGGTTGCATGTGTGCACCTTTTTGCTTTCCTTAGCTAGCCTAGACTAGTTCTTGAAATTAAGAGGGTGGCTTATGCCTGCGTGTTTAGTGTGTAACACCTTCACTGGAGCAGAACTGTCTTTAAGGGCAGTGTGTTCCGGAGCAAGAATAATTGCTAATTGATATGCATGGCTACTCTGTGTCCTGCAAGGTATAGCTACTAAATCCTTTTCTATAGCAGACTGTTAAGTGTGAAAGGACTGGTTTAGAGAGCCTGTCCTGATCATCCATTAGTTGCTGAGTGAAGAAGTCTGTGTAGTTCTTTGTATTAGCTGCATCTGCCCATGTAGCCCTAGGGATTTATCCTGTTCTTGCTGTTTGTTCAGAAATTCATTTCATCCTTGGTTTTTCTTTTTCTTTTTTCTCTTTTTGGCAAGTGTGTGTGTGTGTGTGTGTACGTGCCTATTTTGCCTGACACTAAGGAGTTTTGCTGGATATAAAAATACTGAAGGGGTTTTTACCGTTATGTAATTTATCTTTTTTTTTTTTGTAACGTAATTTATCTGTTGAGACAAGATGTTTGTTTGTTTGGTTTTGGGTACTGGGGATCAAACTCGGGACCTTGCACTTGTGAGGCAGGTGGCGGCACCACTGAGCTAAGTCCCTGGTCCTAGACAAGATGTGTTGTGCACATAATGGGAGAACAGTTTCAAGTTGAGGTGTTAAATGGGTGGGTAATTCTTACGGAAGCAAGAGCCCGGAGGTTCTTATGGAAGGAGCTGGGCATAGATTGGTGATGACACCGGAGGGTCCCCCGTGGGAGGTTGAGCAGAGGCTCAAGCCCAGAGATAAAAGTAGTTTACAGGCTAAAAGCAGTGCTGACTCGGAATGAAGAGATGGGGTGGCCAGAACTGCGGGGACCACGGAGAGCTTGTGAGTGCCAGCATGGAAGGTCAGACCTGAATGTAGTGAGGTGTTTGGTGGCTCAGGAGCTCTCTGTTTATGTCCCCATGGGTGTCATGGCATTAGCAGCGAAGGAGGCTTGGATGTCAGCACGTGGTTTTTCAATGACCACCCGAGTGGCGGCTTGAGCTGACAGCCCTGAGTCACTGCCAACAGCTTGAAGGGAAATGGGGGATTTACCACCTGTTCCCTGTTGCCTGTTGTTTCCAGATGTTCACACTAGCTGGTTTGCTCTGCCTGTTGCTGCATTTTATTCCTTTTCCCTGAAAGTAAACCTTCCATCTTGTTTTGGCTTTGCAGGGTTTGGAGAAAGAGCAAGTAGAGGCCCTGAAGCAACAGCTGGCCCAGGCTCTGCAGGAGGTAACTTGTCTCTTGCTGCTATGTGGAGATTATGGTGGTTTGCAGGTGGGAAGCAGCCGGGCTTCACACAGCTACTTGCTGCCTCTGCTCTGTAGCCCACACCTCTGTGGCATCTCCAGTCTGCACACAGAGCAGGTGGCAGCTACTCGCACCATCAGGCTGGAGATTTGAAGCCTCACAGATATGCCAGATCTCAGCGTGAGAACTTACGTCTTCATCTGAGTAGAGCTTGCTCTGGTGATGATGGAACAGAGCCTGTAGCAATTGGGGGAGGATCTCTGGGGAAGCCGCTCTGGTTCCAGGAGGGTGAGGATGGTAGAGGTGAATATGAGCTGTGGCTTGACCAGCAGGGCCTGTGAGGGCCTCCGAGCCTCACCAGCCCTGAGCCGTGGCCATCTAGAAACCATCTGAGAGCGCTGCAGTCAGGTTGGGAGGGTGCATGAAGCCAGCAAAATGTATCAGTTTAACACAAGAGTAAGGCTCACAGGAATGAAATTCTCCCAAAAGACTTCTTGTAATTTATTTCATTTAACTGCTTGTTTGATGATTTTTCCTTTCCCTTCCTTTCCTGTCCTGGCCTTGCCTTGCTTGTTCTCCTCCCTCTTTTTCTCCCTCACCCACCCTTCCTTCCTTCCTTCTTTTTTAAAATTTGTAGTACTGGGGGTTGACCCCAAGGTTACTGCACTGGACTATACCCCCAGCCCTTTTTATATTTTTTTCTTTTGAGACAGGGTCTCATGAAGTCACTCAGGCTAGGCTTGAATTTTTTTTTTTTTTTTTTTTTTTACTAGGGATCCAGCTCGGGACCTTGCACCTATGAGGCAGGTGGCAGAACCAATAAGCTAAATCTCTGGCCCCTTACATAGAACTTTAAAAACATTTCTGAATGCTTTTCATATCTGTT